AAATGATCGGCCAAACTTAAAAAAAAAAAAAAAAATTTTTTTTTTTTGAATTAACCTTTAACCGATTATTATCAGATTTCGCGGAGAAGATATGTTTTCATTAAACAAAAAATCATTAACTTTTATTATCAATTCACGTCCTTCGACTTTACTTTTCCTTCGTTCCAAACATATTAAAAGATCACAACGAATTCCGACCCCGTTTGAAAGAGCACCAATTATTATGCACAGTAAAGTCCAACAGATCGCTTTAGCAAAGGACGATGATAAAAGTACTACAGCGGGTCGTACTGTGAAAGTAGGAAATAATGCCATGGCTGGATATAGAAAATTATGGGCCATACTCAGTTTTAATAAAACTCGATATCAAGTTAAAAGGAATCGATATTATGAAAAGCCTTTTCTAAGAAGACAACGCGTTAAATGGGAATTTGAACAAAAGAAATTTAAGGATGCCGTAAAGAAAAAAATACAATTGATTTTACAAATGAAAGCAAGGTATGTGGTGTATAATTATTCATCAAGTAGGTTTTTTTTTTATTGAACTATTTAATAAATCAACTTTTATTTTATAGAGGTATATAACATCGTAGTAAAAAGACATAGCTCTCCATAAGGTCAAAAGGTTTATTTGTAAAAAAAAAAAAAAAAAAAAAAAAAAAAAAATTAATATTATTTCATGATATTAAATCAATATATTATTATCCTCTTAACAATCGCTCGGTGACTCTTTCTCTTGCAGTATGATATGCTTGAATTAAAGTTTGTTCCGTAATAGGGATATCTGTAGTATCAGTGCGAGGACGAGATACTCGAGAAACAATTACACTCGAATCAGTTTCCAAAACAATTCTAAAAAAAAGAAACGTCAAGTTTCTTTCAACGTTAAAGACAATTCAAGATTAAATAAAAAGAAAGCTTACCCATCGTCTATTGTCTCATCCAAGGTGAGAACTACTAGATCAAGATTATCGACAAGTGTTCTTTTCTCGACTTGATGTCTTCAAATTTTAAGATTTAGAAATCGTTCGATGAATTATTGTTATAGAATGGATGTTTAATACTTTACCTTAATAAACTTGATACAGAATCATAAAATGCGTTAAGAATATTGTTCAATATGAGTTCATTTTCCTCTGATGATCCAACAACGTAAAAAAAGACGTCGATACTATTTCGATAAAGAACCACTTGATTATCATAAAGAATAATTTCACCTATAAACATTTTAAAGAAAAAGGGATTAAGAACGATTCTTTTTTTTTTTTCCGAATAATTAATAATTATTAGCAAAGTTTACCGTTTGCTCTTCTGGTTTTTTCAAATAATCCCTTTTCGAAAACCTTTTGTTCTTTGGTGGTAGGATATAAGTTTTTGGTATCATAATATTTTCCAAGTATTCTATTACCCTCACTATCAAGGAGTATTACTGCAGTTGTTGTGTAAAGAGATAAATTAACCTAAAGCAAATGGGTAATCCTTTTAGCAAATTTAGCTTTCTAAACGTAAATTTTAGACTAGAATATTACCATATTTAAATAAACAAATTTTTTTTTTCGTTGAAAATGATCAAAACCCCAAATATATTAAATGGTCAAAATAAGCTTTGCATTCTAATTGGCTAGTCTAACTGGGTTAAATCTATAACTCTTTTTCGTCTTTTTTCACGAGATGTCCAACTATTAAGAGAGAGAAAAAGGGTTGGATTAACATCATCCTTTTATCAATCCTTTTAATTTTTTTTTAAAAAAAAAAATTAAATAAAAATAATGAAATTTGACTTATCAATATTACCTTTTATATGAAGCGTGTGTTAATTTTTTCCTTCTTCAAACGAATTTAAAAAAGACGTAATGCAGATAACCATAAATTCTCGATCTGGGAATTCCCAAAAATTTCCTTTAACTATTGACATACCAGCTGACGCAACTGTTGACCAACTTAAACAAGCCATATATAAAAAAGCATCAAAATATTATCCTGACCGTCAACGCCTGACCGTTAACCAACAAGTTTTAAATGAAGGAAAAACTTTAAAGGAGTTTAATATTAAAGATGGAGATACCATTTCGTTTAAAGACTTGGGTAAACGATTTCTTCAAACTTGATTTAATTGATTGATAAATTCTTCTTTATTTTTAATCAAATCTTTAATAATAAAGGGCCACAAATTAGTTGGAGAACCGTATTTTGCATCGAATATTTTGGTCCTATCGTATTCCATCCGATATTCTATTATTTCAATTCTCAAATTTATGGTAAAGAATTTGAGCACAGCAAGATGCAAACGTGAGTGAATTAAGATTACATTCGATGATTCCTCAATTCCAAATTTTTTTGTTACTTATCGATATGCATTTTTTTTTTCGTTAATTACTTTGATTAGAATCGCTTACTATATGATTATGGCTCACTTTATAAAACGCGAAATTGAAACTTTATTCGTTCACCGTTTCTCACACGGCACTATGCCTTTTAAAAATGTATTCAAAAATTCATTCCATTATCATGCGCTTAGTGGTTTAAACTTGGCTTATTGGGTATATGGTCCTTGGAATGCTGCCGGGAGTCTTGATGGTAAACGCGAAGATTGGCTGATTTGGACTTGCGCGGGAGTGTTTGCCGTATGTCATTTATTCTAACAAATCAAATGGATAGCGTATCAAATCTGATCACTGGACTTTTTTTTTTTGTAGTGGGCACAAGTCTCTAATCTTTACACCCATATTATTCTACGCAACCTTCGTCCGCCAGGAACTCGCGTTCGTAGGATTCCTTACGGATATGGTTTTAATTTGGTATCCTGTCCTAATTATTTCTTCGAGACAATCGTATGGCTTAGCGTTTGTATTTTAACCAAATCGTTTGCAGGTAATTCATCAATGGACCGATTTTATATGTTGTAACATTTGATTGATACTAATTTGAAAAAATTTTTTAGCTTGGCTATTCCTTGCCGTAGGTTTTACTCAAATGTATTTGTGGGCGATAAAGAAACACAAGAGTTATCGTAAAGAATTTAAAGATTATCCAAAGAATCGTAAAGCCATGATTCCTTTTATCGCTTGAAACACAATGGGTATTATTATATTTATTATTAAACTATAGTAAACCTAATGATAATGGCGGCTTGTCAAAAATTAATAAACAATAACCCCTTTCACGGAAAATTTATCTCAGTTTTATTAAAAATATATATATGTATATATTTATGTTTTAATGTAAGGCTATTTATTAAACCTTTTGCTTTTTGCTTATGGGAATTTCTTCAATATACTCTTCTGCGTAATCCTCTGCAACACGCTTAAGTCCTTTCATTTTCCTTGTTTGTAATTTACTTAAATCTTGTTTACCAAGGTGAATACGACCAACCTTGTCTCCCATTTCATTAACATCGATATTCTTGATTTTCTTTGGCTAAAAAAAAAATAAATCATTGCGTATAAAGATGAGGCCCTTAAAAAAAAAGGATATTATAAAGAAAATAAAAAAATACCTTATTGATCTTGGGGACTTTTGTAGCCAATTTGTATACATCATCATTGGCAAATTTAAATCTTCTAACTCTAAAAACATAACTTGGACCCATTTCTTCTAATTCAACTCTAGGGGTTTTTTCACCAGATTTTTTTAACTTTATAGCATATACTTTAAAATAAATTAATCCTGGCATGGCTCTAGAATCATTTGATTGTTCCAAAGTAGAATTAATAGCCGTAACAGAAATGATATGTTCTAATCCTGATAAATTAATGTTTTTAACGGCTTCACCACGATAAAAATCTAATAATATATTTTTAAAGGTTTTATGTACGTGAGAATTTTCAAATAAATCACCATTAAATAAGAATAATGGTTTCATTCCTATGGCACATTTTGAGGTCTAGATGAATATATATATATATATATTATTTGTATTTGTGTCCTTGATTGATTGATTAAACAAGAGAAAGATATATTTATACATTAATTTATTTATTTTACGCACCTTGAATTCTTTTAATGATTTAGCATTTTCAATACCAACTTCGATCATGTCAAGTATCTGACCATCGAACATTCTAATAAACGTTAAATTATTTGGACGTTTTTTTGTATGAGAACCAACTACAAATAACGAGGTATCATTTTTTTCACAGAAAAAATTTAATGAAGTATCATCATCAAATGGATGTATATTATTCTTCTTTGTAAAATTTATCGCATCGGGTTTTTTTAATTTACACTTTATCGTTTAAAAGGAGGAAGGTTGAAAAGTTTGAAAAGGGAAGGAAAAAAATTACTTTGATTTAAAAAATTTTCAATACTTGAACTACAAATTAAACCGAAAGTAAAAGGAATACATTTATAACTCACTAGGTCCGATAAGGCTTCATTAACTATTTGACTTGTCGAACTACTTCGAATAAATATCGCTTTCTTTACGTTTTCTTCAATTTTTGGTTCCCGTTTTTGTAATGCCCTTTTTGAACGTGCATTCTTTGGTATGCTATAACAGGATAAAATTATTACCAAGTAGGATCAAGCAAAGAACTCAAATAAGATGATATTTTACGTAAACAAACATACATTTTCTTCAGCATTATTTTAAAATTGTGAAAAATAAAATTTTTTTTTATCAAAAGTTCAAAAAATTAGATGGTGAATCAGTATAGATCAGCCAAAGTTGGATGATCAATATCGATATATGTTAAAAGTTATCATTAACTCTCTTTCATCTCACGTGATTTCTTGGCCCGGTATTGCCGAAATTATCCGGGTGACAATTAGGTGACAAATAGGATTTTTCATATCGAATATATAGTAAAAATGGAAAACAAAGGGTATGACGCAGTGTGACAAATTATATAGGTGAAAAAAGTGCCGGGGCATCTTCTTATTTATAAACTCTCACAGTTAAAGAGTTAAAGATCGTTTGCTGCTGGATAATAAAAGTGTCAAATAAAGCTTAATGGCAAATTATTTATTTTTCGTAATAAAAATTATTATAAAATTTTTAATCATTTTTTGTCTTCTTCAGCATCTTGAAACATTTCTTCATCATAATCATTTTGTTGTTGATTATTAGAATTATTAACAATAGATTCTAAATATGTCGACGAAGCCTTAATACAGAGTTGAATTAGGTTAGTTAATAAAGTTATGAGATATAAGAGATAAAAAAAATAAACATTAATAATTACTCCGCTAAATTCTTCGGTAAACGATTGTGGATTATCATCATCATTGTCGTTATTACCATTATCATAATAAAATTCATCGTCAAGATCTTCTTCTTCTTCCATAAATTCTTTATCTGGATGTAATGCTGCACATTCAGAAAATGCTTCAAATATAGCGTCAACTTTTTTTCGAAATAAATTGTTAATATCATTCCCTGAATATGAGAGGATGAATTGAAAGTTTATTATAATTGACTTACGTGCACCGATATCATCAGGAATAAACTTAAGTTCGGATGTATGATCTTCCTCTTCCTCTTCATCTACACCCTCTCGTGTAGCAGTTTGTGAAGTTCTACCGAATGTATTTAATTTTTCATCTAACTGTGTATAAATACTCGGACCTGTACCATCCGATGCTGGTTGTCTTGATATACCATGTATTATTATAGTAGGATAATCAATCGCTAGTCCATTATTTGTATCCCAAGAATAAAAATACAGTTTACTTCATATAACAATTAAAGAATATAACTTAATATTAAAAAAGATACTAAACGAGTATATTAAAGATTTGGTAGAAATATGATTATTTACCTTTCAGTTACCCATAATGTTCCTTTACCTAACATTTCATCAGCAGCAGGTGGAGTAAACAGTGCGCGGACATTATGTTGCGTATGACGAGCAATTGGTCCTATTATACCATTTTCTGGAGGATTTTGTTGCATTTGTCGTGCCTGTTCACGTGTAATTACTGCAGGCGGTGTTGAAATTAACGTTATTGCCATATTTTACTTTTTAATTTTCAAAAGTAATACGCGAAATAAAACGGTAAAATTGAAACATGCGCTTACTATATTTCTCTTCATACGAGATCACGTGCCCATGAATTAGTAAGTTCACAGAAAAATTGATTATCTCAAAAATTTTATCAAACATGGCTACTAAAGGACCACCAAAAAAAAAAATAAAGAAAATTAATACTACAGTAGAGGAGATAATTGATGTAAAACAAGAAATATTAGGGACGGTCATTGCCCAATTGAAATCTATTAATGGTGAAGTTACTGGTTCACCTTTAAGTTTACCTGCAAACGTCACTCCCGAACAACTCGAATTATTGATCAATCAATTATTAAATAATGTAACATTTTTAAATTTTAATTCCAATTAAATTAAGAATGAATTAATTCGAAAAAACAATTAGATAATTAATTTTATTCGTAGGATGAACCACTTCCTTATGCATTTTCAGTTGATGATAAAGAAATCACGAATACACTTTATAATGATATTATTCAAGGATTAAAAAAATCAACTGAAGATGTGTTAACTATTGTTTATCAACCACAAGCTATATTTCGTGTTCGAGCTGTGACTCGATGCACGTCTACACTTAGCGGTGAGTGAGTGATTGGATGACTTTTCGATAAAAAAAAAAAAAAAAGAATATTAACAAATTGGTTGATGTAATAGGACATACTGATGCAATCCTATCGATTAGCTTTAGTCCTGATGGCACTCAACTTGCAACTGGATCAGGTATCTTTTGATGGTTCATTCTCAAAACGTGTTTGCAAGTTATCTCACATTTCGTTCCATATTTAGGCGACACCACTGTAAGAATATGGGATCTCAACACGGAAACTCCTCATTTCACCTGCAGAGGTTTTTATTCATTCATGACAATTTTTTCATTCATCCGAATATTCGTTGACGTCAACTTATATATATCTAATAGGACACGCAAATTGGGTGTTATACATCTCATGGTCTCCAAATGGTAAAATATTGGCTTCCGGAAGTATGGATAAAACCGTTAGATTATGGGATCCATCAACAGGAAGACCATTAGGAGATCCATTAAAAGGACACACACAATGGATAACATGTTTAGCATGGGAGCCGCAACATCTGTGTGTATGAAATTTCCTTTTTCTTTAATTCATCCGAAACATAATTCAATTCTAAATGTTCATTTTGTCTTATTCCTTTTTCTTTTAAACAAAAAAAAAAAAAAAGAAATCTTAAATGTAATCGATTGGCATCATCATCAAAAGATGGTACAATAAGGATATGGGATACTACATTAAGACGAGTCGTAATGAACATGTCACAACATACCGCGGCCGTTACTTATATAAAATGGGGAGGTGATGGACTTCTTTATTCTGCTAGTCGGGATAAAACAATTAAAGTTTGGAATGCGACTCAAGGAACCCTTATTAGAACCTTAGAAGGACATGGTCATTGGGTTAATACTATGGCATTAAGTACGGATTTTGTATTAAGAACTGGTGCTTTTGATCATACCGGTAGAATTCCGAAAGATGAAAATGAAGGTAATGAAGAATACACAAGTGTTTTCTTTTAAAGGAAAGGTACCAATGTTATTATATATTTCGTATTATAGCACAGGAGTGGGCTTTGGCTAGATATAAGGCTGTAGTTGGAAATAAACCAGAGCGATTGGTTTCTGGTAGTGATGACTTTACAATGTTCTTTTGGGAACCTAGTACAAGTAAAAAATCAATTGCTCGATTAACGGGACATCAAAAATTAGTAAATCATGTGTGTTTTTCACCTGATGGCCATTTATTTGCTAGTGCAAGTTTTGATAATTCAGTTAAACTTTGGGATGGTTTTACGGGAAAGTAAGTTGATTTATAATTAACTAGTTTATGAAATCTAATTATTAAATTTTATTATTATTATTATTATTAGATTTATCGCTTCGTTAAGAGGGCATGTCGGTCCTGTTTATCAAGTTTGTTGGTCCTCTGATAGTAGATTACTCATTAGTGCTAGCAAAGATAGTACATTAAAAATTTGGGATTTAAAAACCAAACAAATTAAATTAGATTTACCGGGTCATTTTGATGAGGTAAGTTCTTATTAAGGGATTTATATTATACAATTTTAACTAATTTTGTTTCAAATTAAAGATATTTAGCGTGGATTGGAGTCCAAGCGGAGAAAAGGTTGCAAGTGGTGGCAAGGATCGTCAATTAAAGATGTAAGTCAACAAAAAGATTATTATAATTCGACAAAGTAATAACATTTTAACCATTCCCTTTTAAACTTTACTTATAGATGGAGAAATTAATCTTAAAATAATAGCATTTTATTTATTTATTATTATTCTTAAATAATTAATGAATCATAATAAGTATAGTAGTATTTTATTATTTCAAAATTACAAATTTAAAATTTTCGAAATTGACCATATAATTTTTAAAAAGTTGATTTACCTCTCATATAATTTTTGAAATGAAGGTCCAATCTCGTTAATCATATCAGAAGTTTGTACAGCGCGTCCAAATTTCTCAAAAGCAGTACGTGAGCATTCTCTCATAAGTGTACATGCCGCATAACTAGCCAGCATTGGGATTTCATTAGGCGATATTGAATTATCGTGCCTTTGATTTATGGGAGGATCACAAAAATAAAAGAAAATGTTTTAAAATATGATTGATACTCAAATGAATTTCTATGGTTAATAACTCACTGCCAAAGTTTATCATGATAAGCAGATCCCCAAGCAAGAAAAGTTGCAATCATTCCAGTAAGAATGTCTCCTTGTCCACCACACCGTTTAAGCCCCCCTTTTTCATCAACTTTGAACACTATTCATATAGAATCGTAAATTAATATCCATGTAAAATATAAATATATATTCTTCCTAAATATATTATACCTTCATTTCCATCGGAGATGAAATCATTTTGTCCCTTTTGGACAATAGTTACTCCACCAAAAGCTTGACCTAATGATTTTATCATGTTATCCGTATTATCACCCTCAGGGTTAACATTCTAATCATTAAAATAATTTTTTAGTTGGGTTTCATAGTGTAAAACGGATCAAATTTTACTAATTTACCATTCTATCACAAAGTCTCTTGAATTCAACGACGTTAGGCGTTAAAATTGCTTTATGATAGTCTTTAATAATTTCTGGGTGGTTTTGAATTAGGAATAAACCATCCTTAATTAAAAGAGACAATTTAGACTTTGATGACGCACAAACTTTCATGTGTATATTGTTTACATACCGCGTCAATAACTAATGGTAAATTTTTTTCTTTAACCTTTGTTATGATGCCTTTGGCGCATTCCAACATCATCTTATCTCTTGATAATCCAGGACCTACAACTACAACATGAGTTCGTGGGAAAAGTCCAGCCACGTTATTTATTACCTCTTCTAAAGTCTTGCCCGTGTCCCTGAAATTTTAAAAAATAAATCAATAAATCAATCAATAAAACTTAAATATTGCAAAGAAGAATAATACCAACCCGGATTGGCGCATGTAAGGATGCACCATTAGATCTGCATGAAATAATCGTTTTCGTTAGAATGAATGAGTTTATTTAATGTAAAGATTATCCATAACTCAAATCACGAGAGAGTTTCCCCGGATTTAATTAAAAAAATTATCAAATATAAAGTATAACAGTAAAAAAAAAACCTAATAAGGCCAATCTTAAAACATGTCGTGATTGAAATTATGAACATTTATACGTAAAACATATCAATACCAGGTGCGTAGGACTGTGAGATATTTATACATCAGATGATACCATGATTACATTTATATATATATAAAAAAAAGTAGTCATCAAAAAAAAAATCAATTACCTTAATTGCCAAGGCTGCTGTCGGTTCGCAGACCACGAAAGCCATGTCGGCGCCCTATCATGAAACAAATCGAGAAATGAATTCGAATTAGATTTAGTTGTATCAATAAGGGGTTTAACCATAATTGCTTTACTTACAAGTTTCAAAGCTGAAAAGGAGCTAAAATAAGGAGCGCCAGTATACCTAATATTATACGTTTCACACGTGTCATTAGTTGAAAAGTTAAGAAAAAATGAATCTTTAAAGAGCGACATTTTATTTACTCTTCAGAGCCACCGACAACACATATTCTACCTAAGAAAAGAAAATTGAAATTAGAACTGTTATAACGTAAATAAAACAAGAAGATTTCATTTAAAAAGGCAGACCTGCTTGGCCTTTATGAAATTCTGGTAAGAGTGGTGGAATTATTTGACGAATTTTATCAATTGCTGGCTTTGTTTTGTTCATTTTTAATAAGCAATGCTTTCGTTTCAAAATGAATGAAATGAAAGTTCCAATCATCCAATAATAATAATAACGCCATATTTCGAATTTTCCATATTTATACAGGTCAGAAATTTTTTTTTTTTTATTAATATTACATAATAAATCAATTTATTTCTTTTTTTCAAAATGTCCAAAAATTAAATCATAACCATCAAGATCATACAATATTCGATCTTTTCTAGAATACCCATCAATGACATCAATAAATTCAACCAATAATTTTTTATCAAAGCTACCTTCTTGGGATTTAAAAACGGTTACACTAAATTTTCCAGGTTCAAAGATCGCAATCACTTGTCGGATGACATCCATAAAAGATCCGGAATTTACCGGAATGTTAGACTCAAACGAAGCATAGGAACAAATAGGTTCAGGAGTAACGTGAACATTGAAATAACTATCTCCCAGCAACCCGTTTGCAGAATATCCACATGGTTTAAAGAGATAAGAATCCAGTCGCGCTTCAGGATAAAGGTTGCACAAACCAGTTTCTTGACCAATTCTTAAACCTCCTTCAGTTCCTGATTCACCTTCTAAAGGATTATGATAGAATTTACTTAACGTCGTTGAACTAAGTTCAGTCATTAGAATTTCAATAGTTTGATCTTCTAAATCAAGAATTGAAGGTTTTTTTTCATCTATTTCATCTAAAGGACATGAAAATGTTGGACAACATGTATCATTATGTGAAGGATCTTTCAAGATACCGTCTGGAGAAGATGCTATCCACAGGAACCAATGATCTCCATTGATTTTTCCCACCGTGTATGCTGCGCCCTTTCCTATTAATTAAGGGTCAGTCATAATCAAAAAAAAAAAAATAAATAAATAAAAAAACTGGCAGAAATTCTTACCGAAAAGTTGATCTAAAAATTTTATTTCCTCATTCCAATTTTTATGTGGATGCAATTGACGTTCCGGAAACATAAAGGTCTTGCGAGAATAGAATACTCTCCATACTTTATGAAGATGACAATATTCAGATGCGATTTCAAGAAGGCGAGGTAAAGCAACCAAAAGAGTGGTTGTACCGCAAGTTTTTAAAATAAGTTTATGAGGATAAATAAACATCGAAGATTCACTAAATGGAGTTATTTTAATTCAAAAAAAAAATTTGCTTTTACATTTAATGATATAAATGACATCACACGTGTTTCAACTGATAAATTCTCGAAATTTATGGAAATGGAGCCTATTTCATATTCCGATAGAATAATTTTACCTTAATAAATAAGCATCCATATAATCATTATTAATTACATTTAATACTTCACATTTAACAAGTTCCAAAAACTTGTCCCATACAACTCTTTCAACTAGACGTAAGCCATTTTTTAAAGAGTATTCCGTATCATTTTGAAAGAGACTATTTGGAATAGCATCTTTTGAAGGCTCGAACCAAATTTCCAAAAGTTTTTCTGGTCCTTCAAAAACACTGTTTTGACCGAATACTTCTATATCAACTTCATCGGGTGTAAGATTCTCACTCATTATGGCTAATCATTGTCAAATTACATTTTTTTTTTTTTTTTTTTTTTTTGCTTGTGGAATTGAAATTTTTGTGGAACAGAGATTATCTATTGATGCCAAGAGTTTGGTATTATTGGTTAATAATTTAGAAAATAAAAATGGGAAACTTATTATAAAATCCAAATAAGTACAAAATTTAAAGCTGTTAAAATTATATTTATTTAGATTAAACCGTTTGAAATACAAATTGCATTTCAAATATCGAAAATCATTTCGAAAAGAATATATATTTAAAAAAAAGAAATGATTATAAAAAAAGATGAATATGAAAAAAATAAAATAAAATAAAAAAAATAAAAATAAAAAATAAAAAATAAAAAAAAAAAGAAAGAAAAATAAAAAATAAATAAATAAAAAAAAAAGAATCGATCGAAGAAAGAAAATATAATTATATATATATATCTCGAAAAAAAAAAAAAAAAAAAGGAAGGAAAAAATATTAAATTAAAAAAAAAAAATAAATAAATAATCGATCGATCGATAAGATCGATCGAATTGATTGATTTTTGATATTCGAAAACCGATATTCGAAATCATTTCGATATCCGAATCATTTTCAAACGGAAACCTCAATGCAGACTATAAGCAATTTAAATATTCAAATATTATTTTGATATTAAATATATTTATTTATTAATTGCGTTTTTATTAAAACTAAAAAAAATTCACATTAGTTCGGCTTTTGATCGGAAATCCATTAACCAACCAATCCTAACATCAAAAATTGATCGGCTTATTGATCGGATCATTTTTTTTTTATAATATAAATTATTTTTTTTTTACAAAATGTAGGAAGAATATTTCGTTGCTGTTGAAGTTGAGGAAGAATATCTCGTTGTTGTTGAAATTGGACTTGAAGAATATTTTGTTGCGATTGAAGAGGAGCTTGAGAAACTTGTTGAGAGTTAGGCAAAATTAAACGCGGAGTTGAACGCGTAATGTTATTTTTTTTCCTCTTTTGAGGTCCAGAACTATGAGAACTTGAAGAACTGGAAGAGCTAACACGTTTAATTGAAATTTTCTCATTAGATTGTATGTTCCTTAAGTTTTTTAAAGTGTATTAAAAATTTTACTAGACACCAGACGTGTTTAAAAAAAGCGATCAAAATGATACTACGTTTTTTTTTGTTCGGAAAGTTCGGGTTGTTGATCAGGTTATACAATTTCATCAGCCAATAATTATCAATTCAAAATCCGAACGATCAGAATTGAACTACTGGTATTAGATTTTTGTGCAATTGCAATTATTATATTGGGACATTTTGCCTGGTCGTATATAATCTCCGGACTAATAATAAAATTTATTTAAATTTCTTTATATATAATTCATTCTCAACAAAATGAACGAAAATGGTAAACTTCATCAATATAAAAGCATCTAATATGGTACTTAAAGTATATATGATTAATAGCAAATTACGCCAGTACTCTGGACGTAAATCCGTAAGATCATAAATGTCTCGACACAAATGCAGCCCACGTAATAATGAAATACAAGTTTTATAAATCCAGTTGTTGTTTTATAGGCTATATGAATCAAAAAGTTTTATTGAAAGAAATTTTATTAGTTATAAGGATTGATCAGAAAACTGAAGCATAAAGTAATATAAAGTATTGAAATCAACACTAATTTTTGTTTATTGAAGATTCTACGTGAAGATCGCTTATTTGAATTTTCTAAGAGGATTTTTTGGCATTTCCTTATTGAAAGCTACGAATAAAAATCATAATCAATCAAAAATCCAGTCCAATATCTAAATATCTGTCCGAATTACATGACTGCATTATTATCTATATTCGACCAAAAACAACCGCAAAATACTTATTGTAATTTCAAGCCTCATCCTCTTTGATTTTTAAATTCTGTTAAATATAAAGGTTACATAATTAGTCATATAACCAGGAATCCGAGAAATAATATCTGGAGGTACCCACCATATCAAACTGGAAATTCGTAAGAGCCACGAATTTCTTAATTTTCTTATCCTCATCTTTCTGAGTTATTAAACTTTTCCAGACGTTCACCAATACCTCATTTTTATCTACAACCATTCGTACGATTTGACTTGCTTGTTTCTCATTCCTTTCCAGTTTGCTAACTAAACGTAAGGCAAAGTCTGTAAACTCTCCATACTCTATATTTGTCAGATTTCTTTTCTTCGCACACACATCTTCTTCTTCGTGCTTTCTCTTTCTTGTTGAGGACAATCGTTCTATGAGTTCAGTATCTAATTTACGCTTAATTTCCATTAGTGGTCCGAATGCTTCTTGATCTCCTATAATAAAAAAAAAAAAATGCACTAAAAAAGAATCGCTCTTATCAACACTGTAAGGGTGACGCCCAGATTTGTGATATTTAAAGCTTACCAAGACATACGATTACTTCTAATGCTAACGTTGAGAGTCTTTGTAATTTCTCATCACTCCATCTTCCTTCTAAGTATGTTATTCCATGAGCATTATGGTTTCTAGCTTCGACTTTAAAGGCTTTGAATAAAAATGATGGGTCGGATTTGTACGATCCGTAGAATAATGTTTGATGTTGACCACGCGTGAACAGAGATAAGTTTTGAATAATAAAGTTAAGCACACATAATAAATCCGCATCAGAGAAATCAGTTAGTTTTGGTGGGTTACATTTTGAAACGAAGTTCTCCACAGTTTTATGAGAAATGTATCTTTCGTTTTTAAAAAATAAATCGGAAAAATGACCTTTCTACGTGTTCAAGAATTGGCTCAACATACGCGCCTTGTTCTGAAGGCAGAAATGAGAACCGTTGTGGTATTGGTGAGGATAATAAATCACAAGTCACATCAATTTGATCTTTCTTTTCGTTTTCTTGATCACCTTGATCTTTTTCCTTTTGATCATCTTTTTCATCACCTTGATCTTTTTCCTTTTGATCATCTGTTTCATCACCTTGATCTTCTTCTTTGTCTTCATTTTTGTCTCTCTGGCTTTCCGTCTCCTGCAACTCTTCCTTCTCCTGCAATTCTTCCGTCTCCTGCAACTCTTTCTCGAGTTTGCAGTCCGTCAGGCTTCCAATTGCGTGTTGCAATACGTTAGAAAAAAATCGTGTTCTCCTAAAAACTGCACGATTATTTTGATTAATAATTTTAAGTTTATTTTCTGTGATCCACATATACAATGATTTATAAGTTTGTTGAAATTTTGGTTTATTCTTGAAGAGGGCACGAATAGACGATCGTAAAGATTTTTTTTTTTCGGATATGGTGTCTATTTTCAAAGGTGGCTTCAGATCAATTAGAGCGTCAAGCGTTGACTCGAGGTCGTGCTTAATATTATTAAAAAGGTTTTCTTCTAGCCAATTGGAAAGTTTTGTCATGATTGTCGAGAGTTGCAATCTAAATTTGTACGTGACGACGTACGTGATAGGGTTTAAATAAATACCAACTCAAGGTTACACAGGTTTATAGTCATGAGACCCGAAATCTTTTTTATATTGATAGAAAAGGGGGAAATCAATTTTTTTTCCCACACAAAAATATTAATATTTATAATTTTTTTCAAAAAAAAAAAAAAAAAAATTGTAGTTTCTTATTGAAGTAACATATTCTTCCATAATGAGAGTGCGAAGTGTGGACTGCTTAACTAAAAATCTCGAGAACACCTAGTGTGTTTGGTAGGTGGAAGGTATCAAAAGTCGAGAAACATCTCGTGTGTTTGCTAGATTCTTTGGTCCATAACGTTCAGAAGAAATATACCTCGTGTATATCTCTAGGAGTAATGGTTAAAAACGAGCATCCTTTTCGCACCGGTATTATCGAAGTTGACGTTATTTTCACGAAAAATTTTCGAAATTTGTTATATATTGATAGAAAAGGGGGGAAATATCAAAAAAAAAAAAAAATTTGTAGTTTCTTATTGAAGTAGCATATTCTTCCATAATGAGAGTGTGAAGTGTGGACTGCTTAACTAAAAATCTCGAGAACACCTAGTGTGTTTGGTAGGTGGAAGGTATCAAAAGTCGAGAA